CACTGCCCCAGCCTGGCTCCCAGAGCCCGCCGAGCTCTGTCCTGCTGGCTGGAGAATGAGTTCACCTGCCTTGTGCCAGTGTTGTGACACAGTTTTAGCCCAGAAGCACTCTCAGTCAGGCTGGCTAGACCCTCAGTCCTACTTGTTGGGTAAGACAGTAAGATTTAGGGAACACACAATTCCACTGAAGAATCTTCTTCTCCAAGGCTTTGTCTGGTGCTCCAGCTGGAGACACTGCTGAGCTGCCCTGGATCCCAGAGCAGCTCAGCAGTGTCAGCACATATCATCAGCTCAGAAATGAAGTGGTTTGGCCTCCTCCTGGCACTACAGGATGAGAAGAGAAATACAATTCAAGCACTTTGAAAAGCTCCCAATTTTATCATCCATTAGGAGGGTCAAATTGTTACTGAAGGTCTCACTTTTCCATGCCATCTTATTTTCAATATAATCTCGATGCTTTTAAAGACTTGTAATATTGCTAAGGTTTAGAAATCCTATAATAAGAATAACCTTTTTTATTTCAATGATTTTTCGGTATTGTATCCTTCTGGAACCTAATGTTTTTATATGGTAAGCACACACCTTCCAACATTTTGTTAAAAATGTACGAAAAAAGAGAAAAATTTAAATATTTTCATTGGTTTCTTTATCTGCAAGAAAACCACAATCGCAGACCTGATAAAAACAAGGTATTTTAAACAATATGGAGGGGTTTTTGTCTTCTATTGGTGCTGAAAGGAATAACTGGTTGATGCAAACAAGGTAATAAAATTTCAAGGCTCAGATGATTCTGTGCAGTCACTTTCTCTGGTTTTATGATGTGGAGCCTGATGTCACTAACAGAAATCTGACTCCAAATCCCAGGGTGATCAAGTGGGTGGGTCAAGTACAGTCTCACTGTGCTGCAGCTGTTCTGGTGAACCTGCAGAAAATCAAGGGGGAAAGAAACGAGTCCTTTTAACTGCCCCTCCACTGCCCAACACCCTGCACAGACACCTGGGCAGTTCTGGAGCTGTGCAGCTCCATGCAGAGCTTTCCCAGAGCCTCTGCAGGCTGCAAACCTGACCCTGCCTCACCCCAGGGCCACACTGGAAGGATCCCCCCTGGCACGGTGCCAAGCACTTTGCTACCTGTATTCCTGATGAAAGGGCATCACACAAGACAAACTGACTCTCAGCACAAAGCCCAGTCCATTATCTCAGCCCCCAAATAAGACTGTTTTGAAACAAGTATTTTAAACTCTGTTTTCTGTTACTCCTTGGTATCATCTGATTTCTCTTTTCCACATTTGCTGAGAAGATATTTATATACAACACACTCAGACTTGTAACAAAACGTGTCTTGTATGCCACAACAAGCACATAAGAAGGACTGTAGCTCCTTCGCTAATTATTAGCTCTGTGTTCCTCACTGTGTCACTGTTGAACTAACGGTGCTTACCCTGGTGAGATCCCCTTTGCCCACAGCTGACCTGGAGTGTCCCCCCACCTCAGTGCAGAGACCTCAGCCTCGCCACCCTGCAGCTCTGTGCTCCACTGGCAGAGCAAATTAGAAGCTGCAAATGGAGCATTTATTATACACTGGCTGAAAGAAATGCTGAGTATGGTCAAGTGCTGGGCAATGGCTCCAGACCAGTACAAGAGGTCCTTGTCCAGGCCTGGATTCCTGGGCTGACAATTAGAAGAAAGTTTCTGAACCACAAGACCAGACAAGTTCAAAACCAGCTTCCAAATGACCACAGTGGAATGCAAAACAAACAAACAAAAATTCCTCTCTGAAACCCCAATGCTTTTAAAACAGAGCTGAATGTATTTTTAAAGGGTTTCCATGCATGAGCCCAACTACAGGAAGGGATGACACAGAACCCAGAAGGTCCCACTCGGTCCCGTCTTTGGTTTGAGCACAGGGGAAAAGTACAGCATTTCTTCTGCTTCTGGGGAATGTTATTTATAAGTACAAGCAAAATTATCTGTTTGGGACCTTCAGTTTAATCTTGAAAAAAACACTGCTGTTTCTGTTCATGTTTTAAACATGGACAGAACTGGAGCTTACTAGCAGAAACTCTTCAGGTATGAATAGCTGCTTGTCAAGGCTCTATGCAAGAAGACTATTTGAAGCATAGGGGGCAGGGGGATGGAAAGAAAAGGATGGAAGGAGGAGATACTTGATCTGCAGACATACTATAAAGTTAGGAGAACATCTAATAAGATTTTAAAAAAATGCAACAAAAAAAGTTAAGAACATTAAGATTAAATGGCCCTCAATTATCTGGGAAACATTCCACAGAATGTACATTGCTGACTAGTTTTGTTGGAGAGAAGCACGACTACACCTTGCCTTTATTTTTAGAGATGCTTTTTTTGTTGAATCTTCTTTTAAATATAATTATTTGATTAGTTGTTGCCCAGCCAGCCCAGGGAATGCAAATACAGACTGTCTCAAAAAGAGAGCTTCTAGGGGAGGTGAACAATGGAGCAGTGTATCTAGTTCCCAGCTGGAGGCAGAGACACAAGCGGAATATTCTCCCTGCAAGCAAAGGGATATGGGGCAGCAGCATCCAAGAAAGCAGCAGGAAGCTGGCAGTGGATGTAAGGCACTGCTTCAATCTGAACAGATGATCTCCTGTGAGAAAATACCTTTCTTTACCCAGGCAGCTCCAAGGCCTGGCTGACTGGCACAGAGACAGAAGAGAAATGGCCCCACTCTCAATGGGGACACGTTCTGCCATCGAGGGAGCCTTCAAAGAAAGAGAACTGGACAGACAGCACCTACAAGGGCCAGAGCACAGCCTCAGCACAGAACTGCTGGGGCCACTGATGATGCCACTGGAACAAGGAACACGCTGCCAACCACTCCTGGACATTGGCACTCCCACCATGAGCCCCAGCAGCTCCACAGGACACTCCCCTGGGCCAGGAACAACAGCTCAGGTGATCAGGGAAATGCTGCTTATTCCTGTACCCTGTTCCTGTAATCCATAAGCAAGAAACAGCCCCCCAGCCTGGCAGCACAGGCACAGCACACCAACTCAGTGAGACACTGGCCTTGAAGAGCTTCCTGGCTGTGACAAGCACAAAAGAAAACACCCCAAAATTAACTGTTTTGTTAGTACACACCCATGAAACCTGTGGAGCAGAGCACTCTGCTACAACAGACATAAAGCCTGTTCTGTATTGAAATATGAAGGCAGTCTTTCCTAGATATTTCTCTTCCTTCCTCCCTTTTTGAAAACTTTTTTGATGTATGTTGCAAGGTACGTGCCAAGATAATGCAGGAAAAGGTAAAATGTAACCTTTAATATAGAAGTTGACTTTGTAGCTCATTCAGTGCACTGTGCAACACAGAGAGACCTGTCAGGTTTTGCTGAACACTAGTCAGTATTCCACAAAAAGAGAAGGGCCAGGGTGTGGTGAGAATCTAAACACCTGAAATCTAAAAAGAAATTTATTTAATGCATGAAGGAGAAGCCTTAAGGCAAGGCCAAGGCTCAGTAAGAAGTAATGCCAACAGGGTCACCTAAGGGACCATCACTTAAAGTCCATTACCAGAATGAAACTACTCCATTGGGAGTCCAAAGACCATTTTAACCACTCAGAAGAGAACACACCACCAGAGACAGCTGTACATGTAGGCAGCTGAGGCCGTGTCATAAGGTATGATAAAGCTGCTGTGAGTGTTATTAAAATTGGGGTGGGGAGGCAAATGTTTTAAAACAAACCAGGGATGACTAGACTTTAACATCATGAACCCTTCTCCTGAGTTTTTAGTCTTGCATGTACAGATTGCAACAGATTTAACCCTAAATTTAACCCACAACTGAGCTCTGCAACTAATATTTTCCTTTTACCCTACATTGCCCTCTCCCTTCTTACTCAAGCATGGAAAGCAAAGATTCAAATACCATACATAACATGGAAAGGTATCTGTAAAGGGGTGCAGAACCCACAGAAACCTATGACATATGGTTTGCCTTTGTGTCAGCATGACTTGAAAAACAGTTCTTCAGACTTGTTCTGTTATTTGTAAAGACATATCTAGGAAAAAAAGTTCACAGCAAATTAGACCTAAAAGCAACTAGATCTAAACTAAAAGCAACTAGACCTAAAGGCACAATCTCAGCAGGAGCTGAGTGATGCTAAAACAAACAAACAAAGGTAGCCACTGTTTTGTACCTCTGAAGAAAGAGGCTCAGCGTGTCCAAAACATGGTTTCTTCTCTGTAAGCTTCCCATTAACGGCCACAGGATGAAGGTTCCACTCAAAGGAAACAGGCAAGGAGAAGCATTATGGGGAACTCAAACAGCATCAGCTCAGGAGGTACCACTGCTGCCTGAAAATACCAGGAACACAAGCAGTCATTACTAAAGCCACTGCCTGGGTCCGTGGCACAATGTCCCAGGGTAAGGACAGACACACGTGTGGCACAACAGCCAGCAAAAGGGATGGGTGAGTCTGCTTTGCACACCAGTTCACTGCCTGTGTGTGCCTGGTCCCCTCCGTGTGGAGTCACACCCCCACACTCAACATGAACTCCTGTTTCTCAGGCCCCACCACTGCTTGCAGAACACAGCTGGCCTCTCCCCCAGCCCCTCTGCCCCCCGGGCTGGCAGCAGCTGCCACACCCCTTCCCTCAGGTGGGACACGGCAGGGCAGGGGTAAGGAGAACTGTCTGTCCTGCCCTGAGGCTCAGCCCCACAGGAATCCCCAGGGAAAGGGGCACCAGGGCTGAGAGACTCGCTGGCATCCCTTGGAAGGGCTGCCTGTCCCTCTCCTGCTGCACTGGGAGGCTGCAGAGCAGGTGGTTTATTACAAATCCTGGAGGTGCTCCCAGCCCTTTCCACCAACACGAGGGTATGTCACCCCATATCACCAGCCCTGTGGTATAAATGACTTTGCTGCTGCCTGTGAGGCAGGCAGGAGATTATACATGTAGACCTGCTGTACAGTCACTGCAACCATTCCTAGAAACACTGCAGTCAAGAAGAAATATGACATTTTCAAGTGCTGCAGTGAAGGCTGTTTGTCCCTCCTTCCCTCCCACCCCATTCATGGCAGCTTGATTTGTTTGCTGATTGCCAGGGGGTGAGTCACTGGTTTCTTAGATACCCTAACATGAAGCAAGCAGCCACTTTCTGTGAGACAGATGCAGCAGGATCCACCATCCCCCTGGAGAAGCAGGACTCCACTCAGTGACTGCAGCACCCACTGTTCCTCCCAGAGCACCTAACACTGCACCTGGAATGAGAGTGATGGGCAAGGCAGGACAGAGCAGAGGCTGTGCACAAGGACAGGAGTGAGAGACAAACCCTCAGCGAAGGAGCTGCTGCAGGAGGTTGTGCAGCTGCACCTGAGCAAAACCCTGAGGAAGCACCAGAGGTTCCGTGGCCAGTTGTGTGACTCAAGGCTGAGCTGCCCTGGGGCTGTGCCCACAGCCCTGCCAGGAGCCCCTCAGAGCGGCAGTGCAGGGCTGTCCCTTTGCACCAGCAACGTCAGCAGCTCTCACTCTTTCAGTAGTGCCCTTGTCCACAAAAGAAGCATCTTCAGGGCTCTCAAATCCTAGACACAATCTTGCTGGGGGGAAAAAAAAGTGGGTCATCTTCGTGACAGGCTTTGAAAACAAAATCAAAGTGCTATAGCTCTGTAAATATATATAACTATATTAAAAATACAATTTATATATACTATATAAATATATTGTACATATGTGCCAAAACCCACATGGTTTTAATTACTGAGGTATCCAAGGATTTACTGCCTCTGAGCCTTTATCTGCTGTATCTCGGTCAAACCTCCTAAGGCTGCATTTGAAATCACACTGTGCTAAGAAAACAAATGATTAAAGCAGAGGTAGGGAGTCAGGGGATTAGTCTATTCTGCATGGCCTTGAGCAAGTAATTTTTAGCTCTGAGGCCCTAATCTTATAGTGAGCCTGGGGCAGATGAAACACTTGAACACCATGAAAAGCACCCTCAGTTTTTTTCTTTTCTGAAAAATGGAGATGACAACAAATAACTCTCAGAGAAGCATCTTAATCAGTAATCTGCACTGAATGCTTGGAAATGTGAAGTATTACAATGATTAAATACAAAACCAAATTAACATTTAGCAATGCCATCAGAGTCAATAAGGTAGATTGACAACACAAGCATCCACTGTATTCAGCTCACAATCACCACTGGAAAAATCCAACCCTAGGAAGCTGTAATAGTCTCTTCCCCTCCTAACAACCAGCTGTAACTACAAACAGAATACAAAAGATGAGTGACTAAATGAATTAGTCCTGAACTGCATCCTCTATCTTGTTAAATGCAGGAAGCCCACACAGAGCAGTTTCAAAGGGACTAATGAAGGAGAAAAGCAAGCTCCAGGATCTCAGTCCTTGAATTGCCCAGCCTTCAGACAAAGGTACCAGTTCTGCAAATAAAGGAGCAAATCTTGCAGCTGCCATGACTTAGAGAACACCCTTTAGAATGCAAGACTTGTCCTTCATCAGGACCATGACAACTTCACTGTCCTAAGAGTACCATTCATTCTGTGTATTCAGCAGGACACAGAATTCTGTTGCCTGCCTGCCTTAGCAGTAGGTGCAAGTCTGGATTAGTTTTATTGGGAGTTTCACTTTTTGCACTAGTTTTCCATTTCCATCCATGTATGTAGAGTGTCTTGTAACATCAGAGGCATTTATTTGCACATAAGATGAGAGAGCTGCATTGCAAGTCTGTACATTTTCCTTACTTATAACATGCTAGAAAACTAGAAGTGGGTTCTCAGCACCCTCTTGTGGACCTGTGCTGTGGTAACCACTATATATTAGTAACATTTCATTGCAATTCAAAGCTATACAGTTACTTTTGCAGCAAAACTGAAACTGGGAAGCTAAATGTGAATGGCAACACTTGGTAGTTTATTTTTAATACCTGACTTTGTAACAAACGTGGATAGAGCCTTCCTAACTCTTTATTCACAAAGCCTAGCCATGAGTAATACCTGACTAAAACCCGTGTCTTTAGTGCAAACAGCTCTTGTGGCACATTAAAAAAGCTGCCAAGCTCCACTGCAATATATGAACTGCAGTACTATTAAGTTCAGTGGTGGCAGGGGATCCTGTTCTATTAGAATGTGCAGCTGTGCCTGCAGGCCTAGTCAGGATCAAAGCTGTTGTCATTTAGAAAAAAAAATGCCTGTGGTGGCAGCACAGAATAAGTTCCTTCCAAGAGAAAATAGGATTCTTGCTCTGCTTATTAAGATGCCCACAGCCAGTGCAGCTCAGCACATCACTGCAATGCTTCTGTCAGCTCTGGGAACAAATGGGAGCTGGATGCTGCCACTGGGTAGATGGGATTTTTTTGATTAAGAGGCTTTCCTCCCCCAAGTGTGTTCTTACAGTAAGATGCCCTGTGGAAGAGGACAGAGACAGAAGTAGTCTTTTATTCTGTTTTTGCACACATGCATAGGAAACGGCCAGGATTCCCCTGTAAGCAGTTGTTTTCCACACAATTTACAGATCATGATTTCAGTCCAATCTGAGGAATGCACAGAAGTCAAGGAAGACTGATACATACAATAAATAGTCCTAATTACACACACATGTAGTAAGGGTTTGCCTCAACACAGCAGCTTCCAGCATGCTAAACCAAATCCTGAAGGCAGTTCCAGTGCCTGTCTAAATGCACAAGCCTAACCAGCCAGCATCAGCAATGCTGATAACACTCACAGTGAATTAAAACATGCACAAGGCTTCCTGAGTACATCCATCAGATTTTGTTCCTCTAAGGAAACCAGAGGTGCTAAAATATGCTCAGCATTCAATCTTTCCAGCTTTTTTTTTTTTTTGATAGCAGCAATACAATTTCTGCTCCAGGTACACTGAAATTTATGTTTTTCCTCATATGCACATAGAGCAGATCCCATGAACTGCCCCAGCTCAGCCCTGAGCACAGTTCTGCAGATGTGCTGCTCTACATCTGGCCTGTGCCCTTGGCCTGCACTCACCCACCTCTGAGAGCCTCACTAGTGCCAAGCCTCACAACACCAAGAGCTTTAACAGGGATGCCTCTCAGTCACCATGCCCAGTATCTACTGCAGTGCCCACATAACTTCAACATACATAATACTGATAACAACATACAAATTCCCATCAATGTGCATTACTTCCCTTTGGCACTGCAGCAAATTTATATTTTATTTTTTCTGAGGAAGTACAGTTCAGGCACATACACACACAGTTATCTTTGAGGAAGTTATTACTACCCAATAGAATACTCTAAGTTTTGGTGTGGTTTTGTTCTTACTTTATTTTTTTCAAAACTATAAATTCTAATATATTGCTGTCTATTAGTTCTGTGTTCCCTTTGAAACACTGTCCTGTTCTGTTGGATCCAGAATCCCCTGTGCAGTTAACTGCACTGTCAGAAGCTATTCCTCCTGCACAAGGGGAACAGCAGCTCATGCTTTGTGTGTCAGAGCAGACAGGCAGAAGAGCAGCTGTGTAATGCAAGCTTTTTTCAGGCTTGCACGACTGTGTCTATGCCTTAAAAAAAAAAAAGGCCAAGTCTTTACTACTTTAAAGGCTTGGCCATATTATTGTTTCCTTTACAATTGCACTGCTTATGTACCCAACACATAACAAACAGACTTGTGCCACCATACTTTCTGTGGGCTAGGCACAGTGTATAAAAATTAAAACAAATGTTTAATGAACAGTAACCTCTACACTCCAGCAAAGTCTGTAAGAAATGACAGACTGGAGTTAAACATCTTAAAAGTAGAGTTTTGAAAAGTGAAATTCACATATCTCAGCAGTTGCTGCAGGGTTTCTGTTTGTCAGGAAAACGATTCTGAAAAATTTTGGAGTATTTCAGATGGCCTGTGGGTCTATAAATATAACCACACCATTAGGAAAAGAAAAAGAAAAAATTTCTACTCACAAGAATGATGTATCATGCTGACCAGGAAAGCAGAGCAGAGTGGGCTGTGCTCCCTCATGGTTTCTTTATGGTATTTCTGTCACTTTGCTAAAGCTGCTGCTCAGAGGAAACAGGAGTAGCTTTGGTAAGCAGTTATCCCTGTGGCTGGCTGACACAATTCAGGACAGGCAGTACATTGATTTTCCATTTCCCTTAATAGGTTACACATACAAAACAGATACATCAGTTGATTGTTCATCTAAAGCAGAATTAATTTCAACAGTACAATTTCTGCCAACATGATTTGCAATGCAACTAAGAAAACCTCAGCTGAGGACATGGCACTCAGAGCAGCCTACAGCTTGGCTGACGTGGCAGATATTATTTAGGCCTCTGATGGAATGAGTATAAGGCCACATTTTTAATCATATAATGCATATGTCATATCTCCAAAAGATTTGCAAGTTTTTTAGACTACGATTCTTCAATTAACTTGAATATGCACATTTTCTGATTTCTGGTTACAGCTTCACAGATTTTGGTCACTGTTTGGGAAATGACTCTCCAGAAATGCAGCATCTAAAGACTTCAGCAGACTGTCAGTGCATCCCCCCTTCATTCACTGACTATTTCAGGTCAATAGGAGCCACAGCTTGGCCAAGTCTGTGAGCAGCTCAGCTGCTTCCTGCTCCCCAGTAACTGCACTAGCACACATATGTGGCTTGACTTGGGATTGCTTTTTGAGCACTCTGAAGATTATTTCCCTTTTTACAGTGACAAGAGCAAAGCTTGAACTCAATGTGTGTAACTCACTTTTCTCTACTGTCAGTGAAAGGCTGTGCCCTCATCTAGTGCTATGCCAAGCAATAAGCAGCAAGCCACCTGCCTTTCAGCTCCATGGCATTATGCAAAACACTGGAACAGATGATTACAAGAATGTGTATATATGTATATAAACCCTGACAAAAATACCTGGTCCCTAAGAAATGCTTCCTCTCTACCTCACCAACTACATATTTTGAAAACAAATCCAAAAATGTTAAAAGCATGTTTCAGAACAGTTTGTTCTATGAGCACAATAAAAATATCCCTCTGCTGTATGAAAAAAAAAAAAGTTTATTATAATTTAGGAATATGAGCAAAAGTAAAGTATTTTATAATAGCTTAAAATCCATGGCAATCTCCCCTGTCTTTGTGTCAAAACTTATGGCATAGGTGACAGCAGCAGGGTCTGACAGAGCTTCTGACTCAAGAACAGAACTGAAGAAATACACAGCTTGCTTGCAGTGGGGATTCCAGGCACAGGTTCCCTACAGGAGACAGTTCAAAGTGGAAGCAGTTAAAACCCTACCAATTATTACCACACAGTAACAATGCAGTAAGAGTTCTTGTTCCCAGCTGAGCCCACAAGGATCAGCATCATCTCTCCCACTGCCATCCACCCCACCCTAGGAACACCTCACTTGAGTACCATGTGCTGCTCTGCACAGAGAAGGCAGAGGAAAAAATGCATTTTGGTCAAAGAATATTTAGATAGAATACCAAAAATACTCCTTCCCCTCCCAGTTTTTGCTTTTGTTAAACTGAGAAATGGTATTTGTAATAAACTCTACTTTGAGCTAGCATCATATTTAAACTCTGAATTGATTCCAAACT